CTTCTGGGTCAGTTAATTGGAGCAAACTCGTCTGAGAGGATCAAAGCACTGTCTTGCTCATCGGCTAGCCACTGCGAGTCACTGTATCACTAGATACATACTCAAAACGCCACTGTGATCCTGAAGAAAGCCGAACGCGGGGGCACTCCTCAGACTGATTAACACCCAAAGACTTTATCTTTCCATTTTGCATGGGTAGAAAGCGTGAAGTTGGATTTTTCTTAGATTTATGATTCAACTCGTAATCTGCTCATCATCATTTTGAAATAGTGCGAAATAATGCAACTTCCGGTAGCTTCCAAAAGCTGTTTTTTTTTCTTTTCCTGAATATACTAATAGATTTGCGAAGGTTAAGTGAGATGTTAAGGTGCGTCGCTTATTCGCCGAGGCAACAAGCGTCGACAACCTTAGTCGGATGTTTGTTGGTTGGATGCCATTTGTTTAATGATTTTGGAAAGCTGGTTTGTTTATACACCTTTCTTGTTTTTCGATTATGAACTGTAGGAATTTTTATAGAGTTTTGGTCTCATTTTCGCTTTAATGTTAAGTTTTAGCATTTTTTTGTTCTCACTTTGATTACGTTCACATGTTTGCTCAACTATGTCCACCACCTTACTCCTCGAATGTTGCCCTATCACGAGTACGATTTTCACCTTGAACGGTGTTGCTTGTGTCATACGTTCTATGTAATAATTCTAGTCTGTCATATTATCTGTGGAATGGACAGAACTCTTTTGTTCCATGTGATTATGTACTGATGAAAATTTCCGACGAATGTTGAGCAGGCAGTCACACCGTTCCCAGTGGTTTCGTTAGGGACCTCCTACCGTAAACCTTTCCCGAAAAAAAACACGAGGTGGCGGTAAAAGGTAATTTCTCTAGGAAAGTCTGGGCTCTTTGTATTGCTACATGCGAGCATTCAGTCGTATCCGGCGTATGGTGCATAGATGGCGAAATTAGAATTGGTGACTCAAAGCTAGAGTCCTGGGTATTGATCAGGATTTGGAGAACACAAAGGGCATTTTCGTGTGTCTTGAAAGGAGCGACGGGGGTTAACGATACATGGCGCAGTGCAACCCTTTTTGAACGGAAGACAGGGGTGGAACTCTGCCGAAAAAGCCATGACCAAGGAGAAGTAGAAAAGTCTTTATTTCTTCTTTATTCTCGTCTTTATTTCTAGCTGCTCCATTCACCAACGGACCCCTTCGTCTTGTGAAACCAGTAGACAGTAATACTTTTACCACAAGTTTTCTAAGCTCTAGCCAAAGGCTTCAATGATGTGCATTGCGAGTTTGTCAGCAAGCTCCTCCTGGCATGATCTCATCGGGGTTTTCAGAGTACAGCGTCAAGCGCTGGCGGTTGGCACTCAATGCTCAACGCTCTTGCATCAACGGGTGGTGCACAGCGCATGTAGGCCGTGTTATAGCTCGCGCCGCCACTGACGGTCTTTGTGTTGGA